TGTTTTTTTGTCTGTGAACACGGTTCACAGACAATATTTTGTCTGTGCAAAATATTGTCTGTGAACCCGGTTCACAGACAATAAAAAAAAGCTTCACAAACATAGGTGGATACAAATGTGGGTATAAGAGTGAGTACAAAGATCATTTTTAAGGGTATTTTCACACCATGGTTGTATGTTATTTTACGAATAGAAATTTTTAGAATAGTTAGATAATTTAAAATACTTTAAGCTGTTAGAATGCAATTAACATTCTAAAATTTCATTTTGTGAAATTAATAATATTACATTCAGTACAATTTAATTTTAATTGCATCCTCATAAATGTTTTTCATATTTTAAATTATGTACTTTTAAGTTTTAACATATAAAATTATATTTGTGAAAAATACATTATCATGCTGTTAACATAAATTTTTATATAAAGTTTGAGGTATACATAGTATATATTACGGAGTATAAGTGCAAGTTTAAGTTACTTATCTCACACCCCTTCAAAATTTGAGATATTTAAATTATTTTTCCCTTTTATATAACATTTTTTTGACTGTTTATAACATTTCTATTTAGTTGTTAATATGCCATTATTTTGATTTGTTTACATTGAAGGGTATGTTTTTCAAAAATATTACTCCGTAAGTTTTATCATTTTCTGTAGAAGAAGTATTGAGTAGGGGTGGCAAACGGTATAGGAATTGCGGGTTGGATCGAGTAATACAGGTTTAGGCATATTAGGGTCGGTCCCAATTTTAGAAACCTCAAACGGGGTAGTGTGGATCTTACAAAATTTAAGAACCGAGTGGGTCTTAAAATTTGAAAACACGAATACTTAGATTGAACTGTTTTAAAATATTACTTTAATAAACTTTATTATATTTAATATAATATACTTATAACACCCAAAAGTTCTTCATATTTTTTGTGTATAGAAAAAGACTCTCAATTGAAGAAATTTGTGGCTCTATACTTCTAAATTATTATCCCCAATTGTCGACTCTAAATGCATCAAAAGATATTTTTTTGTAAATAAAGGCTCACTAAATGAAATGTGACCTAGTCATTTAATAATCTTAATTTTACTTATATTTTGGATTTATTAAACTTTAAATTTTTCTCTTAGACATATGTATGGTGACTAGTTTATTTTTTTTATGACTTTGTGACTATTTTTTTGTTCATGGATGTTGATGTCTAATTTTCTATATTTCAAATTTGAGGTTGTTTAATTTGTATGGTGCAATTTTTTATGACTTTGTGACGCTATTTTTTTTTGTTCATGGATGTTGATGTCTAATTATCTATATTTCAAATTTGAGGTTGTTTAATTTGTATGGGTGCATTTATTGAACTTATAGATTTGTGGTTAGATATTTTATTTAATTTAAAAATATATCTTATATTTTCATTTTGAATTTTTGCTGTATTATGATGACATTGACACATTGTCACATTGATACTCCCTCCGTCCCAAAAAATTGTTCCCGGTTTCCTTTTTGGGCCGTCCCGAAAAATTGTTCCACTTTCCCTTTTTGGAAAGTTTTGTGTGGCTCACATTCATTTACATTTTTCTTACACAACCACAACCATACATTTCCACTTTATTCCCACTTTCTTAAACTCCGATCCAAGTCAATGCAGGAACAATTTTATGGGACGGAGGGAGTATATATTTAGTTTGAGAATATACTTAGACTAGTATCTTTACCCGTGCCGTGCACGGGATGAAATGATTTTTTTAGTTTTGCTATATGTGTGCGCTCGCGTTGGCATATGTATGAACTAATATATTTAACGGAAAATCGCTTATTTAGTCGATTATAACATTGGTTGATAATGCATGTTCTTATTTATTGATTATATCTTATTTTCAATCTAATTATCTAAACAAGTTCTCATCCTATATTTATTTTTCCTATTAAAAGAGTCATCTTTTTATAACTCTCAATTGCATCCAAATGAAATTATTTTTTCAATCATCTTATCTGAATAGAAAAAGAAATTGGAGTGAGCCGGTATATGGAATTTTTTCAGATAAATTTTACACATAAATTTTTACACTAAAAGTACAAAGAACTTAAAATTTTGGGGTGGCCCGTGGCCCGGTTGCCCCTACCTCCGCCCCTGAATGATTTTGTTTTAGTTTTTTACTATATATGTGTGTGCGCGAGCACACTGATGTATGAGTTATTAGAACTAATGGAAAGTCTCTTATTTAGTCGATTATAACATTGGTTGATAATGTATATATTCTTATTTATTGAGTATGTTTTTATTTTTAACTAATTATTTAAACATGTTCTCAGTCTATATTATCTCATATTTAAAAGTGATAACTTTTTATAACTCTTGTCTGTGGCGAACGCAAAAATTTCCGCTAAAAGGGGGCAACAATGTAAAATTATACGAAGTACTGAGTACATACAAATACATACTCGTATATATTAAAATTCATGGGTAAATATATATGGCTAGTAAAAGGGGAGGGGAGCATTAACCCCCAGGTCCGCCGCTGACTCTTGTTGCATCCAAATGAACTTCGTCTTTTCAATCATCTTTATCTAAACAAAAAAAAAAGAACATGCAGCGAAATTGTGTTAATTGGCTTTGAGTAAAATGTCTAAAGTATGAGTCTAAAATTTATATATGTAGTGAGAGATAGGATGTTTTCACACGTCAATTTGGGTCTGTCAGGTCTGATCTGTTTTAAGTATGATCTAGACTGGTCTGGTCTAAAATTGAAATCTTCAGGTTCGTTCTGACTGGTCTGATATGTTTAAGTATGGTCTAGACTGGTCTCATATGAACTGATCTAATACATGTTTGTTCAATGTGTACTTTACAACTATCGAATTCTGACTTGTTTTGATCTAACAATAGTTGTAGTAGCATTTAAAAAAATAGATACTTTTTAAACTGTTTAGGGAAAATGGAAATTAATAATCCAACCTTTTAGCGGTCTTCTTTTAATAGTCCAACCTTTTCGTTATTCATGAATAATCCAACCTTCGCAACTCATCTTCATTCATTGGTCCCCGACCGGTTGATGACCTGCTATTCCGAGTTATTTTCTTATCTCTGCAAACTATTATACCATAAATTCCACCTTTCACAAAGATAATATTGTGCAAAGATAAAAAATAACTTGGAATAACAGGTCATCAACCGGTCAGGGACCAGTGAATGAAGATGAGGTGCAAAGGTTGGATTATTCATGAATAACTAAAATTTGGGACTATTAAAAGAAGACCGCTAAAAGGTTGGATTATTAGTTTTCATTTTCTCAACTGTTTAAACATTTTTTTATCTTTATATTTTCAATATTGATAGCATATAAAAACAATTAAAAATTTATGATTTTAGATATATATTTTTTGTAACAATCAGAGTACAATATAAAAAAGTTATATAAATTTAAACAAATAGATGTCTTTGAGTGTTAAATTGTTTTTTATTTTTGTATATTCAATATTGGTGTCATTTGAAAGATAATAAAAAGTTATGAAGTATGGTAAAAATTTTGTAACAATCCGAATACAAATGAAAAGTTATGACGCTTTAAAAAAATATGAAATTAATGAGAGTTTGAATTCTAATCTAACATGGTTCTAAATTTTAGCAATTCTTATGTACGTAATACCATGCAACCGTCCCACGGTGCGCATGGTATACCTGGGAGAGCGAAGAAGCAGTTCGTATATTTTGGCTTTGTTATTTTTTATTTCTCCTTTTTTTTAAAATGTTAAAAAAAAAATTATTTTTGATCCGATTTTTATAAAATTTATATCAAAATTTTTTATTTTTCATGATCTTTCAAATGAGACCAATATTGCCTATGTAATTTTAACATATTAACATTTGCGTGTAAAAGTATGTAACTTTACGTGTTAAAGTATGTAACTCACGTTCAGTCAGACCAAATGCAACTCGTGTGTATAAATATGTAACTCTACGTGTAAAAATATGTAACTTTACGTAAAAAAATATGTAACTCGTGTTGAGACAGGTAAAATGCAACTCGTGTGTATAAATATGTAACTCGCGTGTATAAATATGTAACTTTACGTGTAAATATATGTAACTCGCGTTCAGGCAGGTCAAATGTAACTCGTGTGTATATATATGTAACTCGCGTGTAGAAATATGTAACTTTACGTGTAAAAATATGTAACTCACGTGTATAAATACATAATACAATAAATTTTTTATATACACAATTTTAAGATAAATTGTGGATTACACAATTATTTTTCAGTATTAAATTTAGTTCGATTTTCCTTATAATCCAATACTCATTAATATTATAGTTCGATAATTTCTTAAAATTACATAAGCAATATTGGTCTCATTTGAAAGATCATGAAAAATAAAAAATATTGATATAAATTTTATAAAAATCGGATCAAAAATAAAAAAGTTATTACCATTTTTTAACAACAAAAGCAATAAAAAATAAAGAAACCAGGCACAATACTCCGTCGTTTTGCAACCGGGCGCACCATCCTCATGGTGCGCCGGTTGCATGATATAATTTGCGATGTACGTAAGGTCTTTTAAAATTTAAATAGTTCTAAACATACTATTCATATCATTAAAAATCATTTTACCCATACCTTAAGCCTTCCATGCACTATACAATTCTAATTAACTCATATGATTGAAAATTTAATTCGTATGTAAGAGTAATAGAGATAAGTAATTCTAAATTAGGGAGAGGACCTAGATAATCATAATGAATGAGTTGGTCAAAACATGACACATGACACGTGACAAAACTTTCTATAATTGTATCTTTGAAATGTATTATTTATAGATACGTAGTACTTTGCTAGCGGATTGATGTTTTTACAAAAAGGAATTGAGAATTTATGATGTTTTCTTTTGCATCAAAATTTGCTGATCTGGTCTGATGTAGTTTAAACTGGTTTGGTCTGTTCTGGTAAATACGAAAGCCATCTCTTTCAAATGTGGTAGGATCGAATCCATTCATTCAATGAAAGTGACGATTGTTCATTCAGTCAGACCGGACTGAGTCAGACCGTGCCCACCCCGAGTACCTGAATTGATTCTTACCGGAATGTATAAAAATTAGATAAACTGGACGGAGCTTGTATGAACTATTACCATGATTGACTTTGTTGAGAGTGCAGTGATGAAGATGATCGGACATGATAACGTAGAAGATGGACATCATGTTGCCTGAGGTGGTGTTATCGTCAACCACCACAGGGCAATTTCGTTCCGACCGTTATGGAAGGTGAAGTTTCACAGTAAGAAACTCAATGAGGAGCTTTTTCTTCGACTCCATGAATCCTTCACGACCACCTCTATCTCAATATCTCTTAAAACCACCATCGACCTTCGGGAAGAAACTCAATGCGTGCTTTGCGTCATTATTCGAACTTTCCCCAACCCGCCCCATCTCTGCATCTTCTTCTCTCGGCCAATTCGCCTCCTATTTCTCACAAGTAAGAGGATTTTCAAGTTCTCCAGATGGATCTTCCACAACCCGCGGTTCCATTCGGATTGTTTCGTCTGATAACTCATCAGACTCCCCTAACACTCCCATTGATGCGGGTTCTTCAATTCGAAAGCCTACCAGTTTTTGGCCTGGAGTGTACCATTCACCTGCGACTAAAGCCCTGTGGGAAGCAAGATCGAGTACTTTTGAGAAGCTTTCTCGTGCCACCTCTGATGCCCCTCCCCAGAGTGAACTTATCACCAAGAATCCTAGAATTAGCAGGACTAGTGTGTTCTACCCGTTCTCCACAGATTATGATCTGAGAGAACAGTATAGGAACCCTTGGAATATGATAAGGATGGGAAGGCTAGTTGAAGACCTTGATGCTCTGGCCGGAACAATATCTTACAAGGTAAGAGTATGAGAAACTCGGACAGCTTATTGTTGGTTTGCTATAGAATGTGCTACTCTGTTTTCAGGTTGGTCATTAGTTTTTACATCTGGATTGTGGATTCTCATTCACTACTTTAATTGTTTTTTGGATTTTGGTTTTCCCTTCATCTCGGTTGCTATATTGTCGAGTATCGTAAAGATTTTGCCATCATATCATACATTACATTATTTCAAATTTTCAACTATTCATTACATTTCCATTGTCTGGGGTAGTTAGGAAGTTTTCATTTCTGTGCCACACCTAGATTTACTTGGGAATGTGACATAGGTCGTGGGGTGGGTCGGGTTAGAAGTAAGCTTGTAGCAGTTGGAACTTACTGAGATGCACTTTTAGAATGTAGCTTTGCTGTACTCAGGGTGGATCCAGAAACTCTGGTTGAGCCGGGCCGAAGAATAATTATACTCCCTCCGTCCCAATATAAAGAGCACATTTGCGTTTTCATACGTTTTTAGGAGAAACACTGTTTGGCACTCTTTGGACACTGTTTGGTTTTGCACTGTTTTGTTTACCAAAAAGGAAAATGTGCCTTTTATATTGGGATGACCCAAAAAAGAAAGTGTGCCTTTTATATTGGGATGGAGCGAGTACTAGGTTTTAACATTAGCGGGTGGGCTAAATATGAAAAATGATAAAATTTACACTAAAAAAAATGGAAAAAATTATATTGCCCTGAGCTTCACAGCTTCACCCCACCATGACCCTAGCGTTCATCCTTCTCTGGCTTTATTTTCTTATTCTAGCATGATTTGTCCATACTGCTATAATCTATACCTCAAATGGTTTAGAAAGCCCTATTTCAACATTCTAATTCCTTTCTATGCAATACAGCACTGCTCAGATAATGATAGCACAACTAGGCCATTATTACTAGTTACTGCTTCTGTTGACAAGATGGTTTTGAAGAAACCGATTCACATCGATTTGGATTTGAATATTGAGGGGGCTGTTACATGGGTTGGGAGATCATCGATGGAGATACAATTGAAGGTGACCCAAAACTCACCAGGTATGTTTCATAAGATCATGGTGATGTACATTTATATATGTGAACAAATACTTCATTTCCAAACATCTTTTCCCCTTCCACTTCTTTTTCATCGAAACAATATCATACATTGATTGATGTATATATAACAGTAAAGTACTGACGTGTCTAATGAGTAACGATACTGATATTTTCATCCTTTCTTGTATGTGACTGCATCAGACTATGTGATCCTAGTCCTAGACTTCACCTCTAAACTGATGCATTGTTGTTGCTTGAAATAGGTCTTCTGTTTTATGCCATTTCAGTAGAAAGGAATGTTCTTATTGATATCCTAGTGCCTGTGGTCTATGATTGAGTTGGTCCGTTACTGCTGTAAATACAAAGTTTCTCGCCGAATTAAAATAGGAGTGCATTCTCTTTATCAACGCAAAAAATGCCCATTTTGAGTTTTGACTCATTTGTGCATTTAGGGGCTACTCCATATTCTCCTTAGTAGAATAGCACCTCCTGTTGTATTTTAAACTTTTTAACACTCCAAAATAAGTCTACATTAAAGCATCACAAGAAGCAACTTACATGATTCTCCATACCCCAATGCATCCATAAATCATAATTTTCACCTTAATCGTAAGGACCCAACTGTGCAGGGTCAGTGGCGTGTGATTTAAAGGAATTGATTATCAAATTTCTAAAATTAGTTTACACTATTAAGTTCATGCAAAATGCTTATTGATAAAGTTACACCGGAAGACCTCATTTCTCTGACCTTCTTAGAAAGAACAATGAGACGAAATTCTTTCACCACTGGCATTTTTTTTACCTATAGTCATTTATTATTACAAGGTCGGTTTTGTAAAATCAACCTGCACAATGAAACATGACCAATTCAAGAACCCAATGCATTATTTAAGGAATGAAGAAAGAACCTTTGGGAAGTATTTATAGTTTCTGAACTTTTTGCAAAGAAATCTTAGGACAAGAAGTAAATGACTACAACATAAATTCAAGTTCATGTGGCTCTGATCCAAGTAAATGACTGCAACATAAAATTTATTTTATACAAACATAAGTTTTTACTTTGAACTTTGATCAAGTGGCTAAGAATTCAATATATCTGAAACATAGCGCGCTGCCTTCAAAACATTAGAATCACGATCTACTCATATTAGTTCTGATTTCTAAGTTCTAGATTCTAGCTAATGCTATTTCTCACAGACACTCCAGACTCTTTGGCTTTAACTGCAAACTTCACATTTGTGGCCCGTGACTCCGTTACTGGGAAATCAGCTTTAGTCAACCAAATTTCACCAGAAACTGAAGATGAAATATTGCTCTGGAATGAAGCTGAAGAAAGAAACAGAATGAGGAAGAAAATGAGAGGGGAGCAGACAAAGAAAGTTGATGTCAGAGAAGTAAATAGGGTTGATGAGTTGTTGGCCGAGGGAAGAGTGTTTTGCGATATGCCTGCTTTGGCAGACAGGGATAGTATTTTGATGCAGGATACCTGTTTGCAGAATTCCTTGATTTGCCAACCTCAGCAAAGGAATATCCATGGTCGTATATTTGGAGGGTTTTTAATGAGAAGAGCGTTTGAGCTGGCCTATGCAACAGCTTACTCATTTGCTGGGACCGCACCTTGCTTCAAAGAAGTTGATCATGTGGATTTCTTAAAACCTGTAAGTAGATTACCAATAATCCTTCTAGTTTACATTTTAAGCGTATCAAAGCTATCCATGAATTTTGCCAAAAAATTGACCGCCATATTCAAATCGAGTTTGATAGATCACCATGAAAGGAGGGGAACTGGATAAAGCAGTGAGGTGTCAACTTTTTCTGTTGGTATATATCTGAAAAGTAGAATTGAACACTTTTTATTGCATTAAGAAAAGTAGAATGTCCAACTATACTATAGGGCCTCTAGGTATGAATTGTAACCAACTCGTTGCTCAAGTGGTTTCATTTTAACACAAAACGCTTTCTTCTTTTCATTTGAAGGGGAAGAAGGATTGTTTTGTTTTGTGAATACAAAACTTCAATTGTATAACTGTATGATACTTCGGTTTTTAACATTTAATCTGTTGGTGCAGGTAGATGTTGGAAATTTCCTTCGTTTCAAATCTTGTGTTTTGTACACCGAACTGGACAACCCATGTCAGCCTCTCATTAATGTGGAAGTTGTTGCTCATGTTACAAGACCTGAACTGCGGTCCAGTGAGGTGATTTGATGTTTTTAGTGGTTTTACTTTGGTTGTTATTGATCGGCGGTTAGTCTGAGACTCTCTGAAGCATACATGGTCAACAAGTAAGGGGGTAGAAATTTAGAATATCATTTGTTGGTGATTATTCTGTATCACCATGCACTAAACTCATAATTTTTAGTTATTTCTTTATCATTCTGGAAAGGCGTCTTTTAGCAGCGTAGAAAACATTTGGATAGTGAAAACCAAGTAAAGAATGTGCAGTAATTATTGAACTAAAGAAAATAGGAAATTGAAGAAACTTGGGATTTTTTTGAAAGATAGAACTAGAGCTTCTAAGTTCTAACTTGAAATGTTGCTTAATAGAAAATTGTTCCTTGATTTTTCAATATTTTAGAGTGTTGATATTTCCTAAATGATTCCTGATTTTCCTCATCTTTGTTATTTTCACGATCATAGTTATTTCCTTATATCTTCTGTGGTTGGAGGATTTCAGTGAGAAGGGAAGGGAGGTAAGTGGAGGTGCTATGGGCTCCTCCAAACTTCTCAGATTTCACTCTTCCAGTTTGGGGTACTTTGGAGAAGTGGTTTTTTCTTTAATTTCCTTTTCATTGATATCACATTTACTTCCAAGTTCCAACTTTTTCAATTTTTAAAGATTGGAAAGTAATGGGCCCTTTAATTTGAGCTAGACTCTAGGCTACTAAACCTTAGTAATTTGGTTATGTCTTTTTTGTTGAATAAACTGTTACTTGTTACTATACTTTGATACCCCTCCTCATGCTGGACCATATGGAATTATGTTCAAAGTTTGATACAGACTGATCATGAAAAATGACCCCGAAGACCCACAACTTCAAACTCGAAACTTGAAACGGGAAGTGGAACATCACTTGTAATGGATATTGCCGCCCTTGTGTTTGAGTCACTCTGTCAGTGCGAGTAAAGTTACTTTGATTTGCGAAATCTCTAGCATTATCCTTCTAGTTTTTCATAGACAGACAGTCCTCTTTGTTATAGTGGATGCTTTCTCGATATAATTTTTTGGCATCCTGGAAACCTCTTTTGGGCATAAGTTAAGTTATTCAGGAGTATTTAAGACTTTAAGTAACATTCAACTCCCTAGAACTTTAACTGGAAAAATGATTATTTCTCTTAATCTAAGAAGTAATGATTGTTCTCTTCTCAAATGTGAAACTCTTTACCTATTGGTCAGTGCTATTGTAAAAAGACAAAATATTGTGTAACACGGGCTTACGCAACTCCATCTGAGAGACAGCATTTAAAGTTAAAATTAGTATCTGTGGTCTAAAACCTATCACTTGTAAATGTAGAGCTTTATGAGATTTGGTTTGTGGCATCAAATTCAATGTGGTAAGTAATTTGTCTACATTTATTTGATTCATGTAATAGAGTGAATCCCAGATGCCCTTAGATGAAAATTCAGAGCACCTGATACAAGATTATAAAGTAAGAAAGATAATAATGATTGGGCTAATCTGATTTTGTTGTGAGAGAATTCCCTAAATAGGAGTAAAAATGTTTTGAAATTCCAAAATAGGAGTATCATGTTTTTTATTCCCTGAATAGGAGTAAATTTCTGCCAAGTTTGGCATTACAAGGCTTTTAAACATGGCATTTTTTTCCAAACTTGGCAGATTACTCATATTCAGGGAATAAAAAACATGTTACTCCTATTTTGGAATTTCAAAACGTTTTACCCCTATTTAGGGCAATTTCTGTTTTGTTGTTCCTTGATGTTGCATGGACCAAATCATAATTAACTTATGTATCCTCAAAGTTCTGGAAAATTCCAATTCATTATTTCCTCAAATTTGAGCTTTTAAATGAGTGTGGAGGTTAATGTTTGTTTCTTCTTCATGGTCTCAAGGTATCAAACAAGTTCTACTTTACGTTCTCTGTCTGCTCAGATGCCTTAAAAAATAATCTAAGGATTCGGAATGTTGTTCCCGCTACGGAAGAGGAAGCACGTCGTGTAATAGAGCGCATGGATGCAGAGAAATCCTTTCAACATTAAAAACTTTATGGTATTGCAACCTATGAGAATGCTGGCTGGCAGGCAGGCAGGCAGCATTGCCAGCCAATTTCTGCATGCAAACTGCCTCTGTGTTGAAGTTAACAGTTATGGCAGAATACTCCGTGTTTTTTTTGCTCCTAGAGGAATTTTGATTATTTATCAGGCGTAACTAGCTTTGAAAAACACTTCAACCAAAGTGTGCTTGATAGAGCATATATAAGTGTTTGATACATTGATATGACACTTCAAAACTACTCTTAAATGTTACTGGTAGTTGCTATTTGCTACACACCATATGGCAGCTTAAAATTTACCGCTACTTATACGCATTAAGGCATAAGCTGGCAGCTTAACACCCCCCCCCCCCCCTCTAGTAGTACTGTAGTGCCTACTGAAAGGGTATATAAGTAACTTAGATTCTTAACTAATGAAACCTATTTTTCTTTGATCAAAAGCTGTGAACAATAAGCTGAAACACGTTTGCTTAATGGATGGATAATTATGTATAGCACTCCGTTGGGGTTTCCATTTTTCCTTTGATTAAAAGCTTGGCCCCCCACTGTTGTGTAAATGAAAGCTTCACCTCGAGAAGATAACCATTGTTGTGTTTGTGTGGGAGTTGGTTAGTAGTTAAGCTTGAGTAATACTCCGTAATTGGGTTGGGTTCTTGAATATGATGGATAAACATTTCCCATATTACTATCTACATACTCCAAATAATTTGAAATCTTAAATCAGAAAATATAAATTGAAAAAGTAGAGGATTCGTAAAGTTTTAATAAACAAGATATAACTGTGCAACAAACAGAAAAGGCAAGCATTACAAAATGGGACATAATGTGCAGTTGTTACTTGTTAATTGTTATTCACAAATTAATGGGACTTCACTGCAAATGATAATCTGATTGATCTGTTATGACTTACGAGTACTACGCAACTAGTGGTGGGCCCAAGTTGGTTAAAGTTTGGTTTAGTACTGGTCAATTCCGGAACCTTAATCGGGAAAACCGGTTTCGGCTGCGGTTTTTTAGCCTATTTAAAAATAAAGAAAAAAAATGACCCTATATTGGCAAACCAGAACCAGTTCCAATCCAGAACAGGAAATCTGGGCAACCAGTCTGGTTCTTCACCGGCCAGGCGGCCAGGTTCTTGTATGGTCCGGTCCATTGCTGAAACCATGCTATACACAACCCCCAAAAAAATACCCGAGCAAAAATTGACACATATACATACACACAGTAGAATCCTGTAAAAAGGGCCACCAGCTGGAATATTAGACCATGCAGCTAATGTTATTTGATTTTCATAGAAACAAACCGGTAATTCGGGTACACAATCGAATAAAATGGAATGACGCTTTGAGAAGCAGAACTGAGTAGAAATACACAAGGTTAAATTGCAGCCTTACAAGCAAATGTGAAATTGAAGCATTAATACAAATCACTTCTAATGAAGATGCTGTCTAATCAGAATCTGGATCAGCAAATATGATACATACATATGTATTTATATATCGAGATATACTTGGGCTGTCAGCATCATTCACAAAGCAACCAAGTTTATGACCCTTATCCTCCAATCAGTGAAATGTTCAAATACCAGAGCCATTTCGGGGGTTCGACAAGAACAATGATGAGATGGATAAAAGATGACATACAACATATTTTACAAACAGTGGGGTCCTTCACATGTGCGGCTGATACTCTGGATTAAATGCAAGAGATTCTCTGTAAATAAGCTCCTTCATTTGTTCCTCCGTGAGAGCATGCTGCTCAAAGTCGAAGCTAAAAGGATTCATGCAACTAGGTTCGTCACTTATGTCATGAAGTGACGTTAAGTACGGGTGAGCAAGTGCATCTTCAACTGAAGCCGACAAAGATAAATGTAGGATTAGTGCATGGCAAATTTGGGCAGATATGCTCCTTACCCCCCCCACCCCCCACCCGGCCGCAGGGGAAATGCATATGGATAAACCGTGCATATATAACCATACTCATTACGAAATTAGTGCAACGATAAGAATCATTGATTTCTATAAATAAATTACTCTTTGATCAGATACATATTAGGCAATTAACCTATTAGGTAAAACTATAAAAGCTTTGTTAGTGAGTTTACACAGCAATGACTGTTAGCAGTAAGACGCCAAAATAAAACAAGTCACTACGAGTTGTGCATTTAATAGAAAAGGACTCTTGCCTACTCTGCAAGGCCATGCCCGACAGGAAATCCTTCATCTGATGAAAAATCAGGCACTACAGTGAAGACACAACCATATACGGTAATGAAGCTTTTCTACAGTTTGAAAATTTTGGAAAACTTTGAGAAACATAGACAACAAACATTTCAAGATATATCGGGAAGTATCGTAAAATATAACTAAAATCTCAATGATCTCTTTAGTTTGTTCTTAAATCTTAAATAAGCTCTTCGGATGTGTTCTTTTTTTCCAAAAAAATCCTCATATCGATATATTCACCTCCCCCCCCCCCCCCAAGAATTGGACACAACACAATCATCAACTTGTAGAGAAGGTGCTGGAAAAATGTTCGAAAACGCAATAAACTTTTCAACATTTCCTTGTTTCCTGTTTAAACTTTTTAAATCTCTTGAACTACATAATGACATCTTAACACACAAGCAGTTTCAGGCACACAACCACATAAATTGCAAATATATGATTCAGTTTACTATGCTAGTAATAAACCTGTCCCGAATCTCAAAAAATGAATGTGCTACAGAATGAAACTTTTATACTTGTTCTTACAGTACCAGAAAGGTAAGAGTTGGTACTCTATATCTATACATCGGACAGATATAGAGTACCTAGAATATCATGTGCTGATGACAAAAGAGAGTTACAAAAGCAGGCTATCATAGTGAGATGCTTAAATACTCGATTTGTATGAAAGAGAACCATAAACAACAAATTCAGTCCACTAGGCAGAGAATATCTAACCTGTAATTCTTTTTCTAGGATCAAACGTCAACATTTTCTCAACAAGATCTATAGCAGCTGGGTGCACTTGGGAAAATTTTTCAGTGAATGACTGGCGGCGGTAAAGAGGAAGTTGACGGATGTATCTTTTTGCATTGTCATTTAAGAACTCCATTTCAGCTTCTGAAGGAGTACCAATCAGCTGAAATGTGTACCCCTTGTCAAAAGTTACTCGAGTAAAATAAGCACATTTTAAAATTGATTTTCATTCAACATTGGAGTTCTTGTTATGTGCTACAATAAGTCACTATAAAACTTTAACAAGACAAGTTGCAATATGATCGAGTGTTCAGACTAGGGAGTTGGGATGGGACAGGATGGGATGAGATGGGATGGGATGGGCAGATAAGTGAACATGATTCAATCTTTTAACATATTATCTTCCAAGTTCCTCATGCCATCATCAAAGCCAAAACAAGATCCAGAAGATCAGGTCAATGAAGGATACCCATTCACCAGATACATAAGGAACAACAAACAATAGGAAAAAAAGAGGGCAATATGGTCAAATGTGGCAGGGATATTAAGTCATAGTTCTCAATCATTATTAAGCTATATCTTGAGCATCAAGTTTTATTACAAAATAATACTTGAGGCCTCAATAGTTTCCGGTTTAAACCTTTTCTTACAACAGAGACTAATTAATGATTTCTCTCACCGACACATCCTTTGGAATATAGTCAAGTGAAATTCTCGTGTTAGTTGCTACACCCAAGGACATCAGATCTGTCACATTGAATTTCATTAAAAACTATGATTGCTACACATTTAATATGAAAAGCATCAAAGATTGGAATCCTCTCAATGATGATCAAATTACTTAAATTACCTGAGGATCAAATTACCCCATCCAATTCACTTCACGCTCTTTTATGGTTAAATTCCTCTACCTTTGAATAAATTTATAAAATAAACTACGGCATTTCCTTACAACTGAAATGCCATTTCTTTTTCCATCATTTGCAATGGAGCCAAAGATTCACTATTTTTTGGCTTGAGAATATGATGGAATAAAGCAATATGGCTCACTAAACTGTCTGCGCTTCTTTGTTATGAAGCAACAGTCAGTCCATGCATTTTTGATGCGATTTTCACTTTGGGTCATCCGGAAACAGTCTCTCTGTGCTTCAGTACAGGGGTAAGACTGCGTACACCGTAGGTGGGAGCCTTTGCGGCACTGGGGTAAATGATGACGATGATGATGAGTACCAAATCATTAATCTAAAAAATCGCAGTAATTAATTTCTTAACAGAAGACCAAATTAAGTCGAATTGACCTAGAGTACAGTAAATATGGAAAACTTAAGTGATCTAAGTACCGATCTTTCTGTTAACTGGTCATACTATAAACAATAGAATATTCAAGTTACTCCAGTGTACTCTCATCTATAAAGTAATTCACTTTAAAAGGTTTTCAATGGCATTGTCACTGTCAAGACGGCTTTACCACTGAATCTTTAAAGCTGTTAAGAGGAGCTTTTCATGTCCCATTCCGAACCCATGTTTAATTAACAATAACAGGTGGAATGGAATAAGCATGATAACAACTAATATTATTGGCATAATGGTGGCAAACGGCCTATCAGATGCAGCTTGTAGTGATGGTAAATTCTAAAAAGTTTAACAGTAGCAGAAAACAAGCTTTAAGGCACAACTTGAAGTGATAGATATGATACCTCCATAAGCAGTCGTAACTGGTGCACATGATCTCTGCCAGGAAATAAGGGTTTTCGATCCATAAGTTCCATGAAAATGCAGCCCACTGACCATACATCAATTGCTGCAGTATAGTCAGAAGAGTTTAACAACAGCTCAGGTGCCCGATACCATCTTGTAACTACATATTCGGTCATAAAATCTGTTTCGGAAGTGACACGAGCTAATCCAAAATCACATATCTTCAGATCGCAATTGGCATTTAAGAGAAGATTGCTAGGCTTCAAGTCCCTATGCAGTACATTTGCTGAGTGTATATATTTCAACCCACGGAGAATCTGATACAAGAAATACTGCAGAAAAAGAGCAAAAATGAGGAAAGGATTGTTTATGAGTTATGACAACAATGAACACTCTACAAGTATAATATGCACTCAAGGAAAAAGAAAAATAAAGATGATAAGAAAAGACAAACATATATATTATCTTTAACCACATGTCTTGCTCATCTTCATCATCATTACTCCAGCGCCGCAAAGGCTCCCACTTACAGTGGGATAGGGGGGGGGGGGTCGGATGTATGCAGCCTTATCCCTATACTAAAGCGTTGAAAGACTGTTTCCAGATGACCCATAGTGAAAATCGCGTTGAAAATTGCATGGACCGACTAATGCTCCATAACAAAGGTGCAGACAGTTTAGTGAG